ATTGATTATAAAATGATAATTATAAGATATAAAATATGATTACATGATAATACTAAAAGTGTATATATATATATATATATATATATATATATATATATATATATATATATATATACATATACATACACACACACATATATATATATATATTTAAATGTCCTCTCTTCTTCCAGTTATTTTCCACACCAGCAACATGTGGTCAGCTTTCCCAGAGCCATGCTTCTGTTTGGCTCTGATCTTTAATAAATTCCAACCTGCTTTCTGAAGCAGGTCCATTTTGTTTATTCCCAGCTTGGACTGGACCCTGAATGAAGATTTTTCTTTCTACAGTTTGGCACTCAGGACGTGACTCCAAGCTAACCTGACCAATGGACTAGGACTGGTAAGCCCCATCTTGCCGGCAGCAGACCCCTTGTGTCGTGGATGGGTTTCCAAGGCCCTGTCCATGTGGAGCAAGGGTAGTAAACAGAGTTTTGAGTTTGAGCTCAAGGGCTGCTTTGGAAAGAAGGCGAGTACCTCTAATGTTTAATTTTAAAGCCCAGGGGAGCAAGGGAAATGTATGTATGTCTGAGTGTGAGTGAGTGAGAAGACCTTTTTCCAATCACAGTTGGATTTTGCTCCCTCTGGTCTTTCCTGCCCACAGAAAAGATCTGTTCAACCAACTCTGGAAAACATGGGGGTTTGGTCAGAGCATAGGACCTTTTGTTAAGGAAAAGGGAGAGGCTGTGTGAAAATGTAATGGAAAAGTGAATGAGAGAACCAGATTTAGGCAACCAGCTGGTAAGGCCCTATAAGCAAAGCCCGGGTCTGGGAAGGAGGTGTTCATGTTTGCTGCTTGGAAAAAGCAGTCAAGTCCTCCCAGACTTCTCTGAGTCCAAAACAGTAACAGTAAAAGTGTAATCAACAAACGTGTAAACAGGAAAAGTTGTTCAGGAAAAGTTGTAAAGAAAAGTATAGTTGTGAATAGCTGTGAAAAGCCGATGGAAGGAGGTGCCCATACCTGCTGGTTGGGGACAGCAGGTCCTCTCAGACCCTTTTTTGGTCTGCAAACTGAAAGGCGATATTCCCATTAAAGGAGGGGCCCTTACTCTGCGTTGGAAACCAGAGTCCTCCCAGACATATCCCCGCCCCCCGAAAACTGATAAGCATGTGATAGGGATTTTGCCACGAGGGAGACCTGGCTAGAGTCCATTGAACCCACATCTGAAGGGGAACATGGGAAACTGTAGCTCGAGGGTTGTGTCCAGATCCCCTCTAAGTGATTTGTTGATGGCGTGAAACGAATATGGAAAAAAAATGATAAAGGAAAATTTGTGAAGAATGGGTTTTGTTCAGGACTTTGCTGGGAAACCAATTTAGCTAAATAAAGGTACTTAAAAGGAAAATAAAATATAGGAATAGTGATCTCTCTTTCTATGCAACCATGTGATATGTTTAAGATTTGTGCCTTTCCTAATTTGAGTTAACAGATTTATAGTGGGAATGACCAGGCTCTGTAAAACTAAGAGTTCTGTTTCCTTTTCTGATCTCTTTTCCTTGTTTTTGTGTGTCTATGTGTGTCAAAGTCTTTGTGTGTGAAGTAAATGTAACTGTTGAGTTACTCTAATCCAAAGAGAAAAGAATATTAAAATTCTGCTAGAAATTCTGTTTAAAATAAGTCACCAAAGAAAAATACTCTCACCTTGTTTGTTTAGCCAGAAAACGGGGTGAAGAGAAATGTGTTCTTTTTTCCTTTCTCTCTTTGTACTTTTAAGACCCATGTTTTAAGTTCATCTGCTGGAAAAGTTTCACTCTTGCATTTATTGTATGTGTTTAACTGGGTTTTTATATGTCTATTTAACATCTGCAATGTTAACCGTAATGCTTTTTCAAACTCTGCCTGCAAGCTATCCACCCCCCCCCCATATCGCTTCTCCGTTTCTTAGCTTCTGTTCTCCATGCCTTTGTCTGCCTCTCCTGGGAGAGTTCACCCAGAAAGGGGGGAGGGGACCTTGTTTTCATGTTTTTCAGTTCTGCACAGATGACCCCCCCACAATCTTAGGAAGCAGAGCACACTGACCCAGACGCTGCCTCCATCCATTTGAGCCAGAGAATGGGGTTTGAATCCAGCCATCCACTAGAAAACTACCATGCAACCAGAGTGGAACAGATCTTCCCAAGTCCTACCAACCCCCAGATGCCTGTGAAAGCTGCAAAGGAAGGAAGGAGTTCTGGAGCCATTAGTCCCCACGTGAAGCCTCAGAAGACAGCTAGGAAAGACTAAGTGGGAAGGGCAAAAACTCATTGTAAGGTTTTCTTTCTTGCCCCATTTGTATTGTACTCAAGCAGTTGAATGGATTAATGGAGGGATGGCATTTGGGAACGGTTGGCACAGCGAGTACTGAACACCTTGGACTTCTGTCTGGTGGGAGGGAAAATTTGTCCAGGATGCTTGTACTGACTGTTTTGTATGAGTAGCTGCATGCACACACACACCATTCAGAATCACACTGAGTCTATCCCTTTCACCTACCTTCAGTAAAGCTCCTTAGGCTGGTTCTTGCTCTGTGGAACTAAAACTCTGCATGCGCAACCTGCTGCAAATTCCAAGGGGGAGGAAACCAGGCCCCCTCAGGCGATTTGCAATTCATATGCTCTCATTGAGGAGGTAGCAGGAAAGAGATTTCCAAACCCAAGCCCTGAATATGTTGCACCGGTGGACTCAGAGTGGGAGTCCTAGGGCTCACTGTGTGCAATTTAAGAAAAATTAATAGACTGGCTTGCACACTGGCTAACCACAATTGGACATCACAAACCTGGATGCACTGAACTAAGAGCTAAGGCAGGAAACAACCCTTGGAAATGGGCACCAGTGGTTATGTACTGAGGCAAACATGGCTGTGAATAGTTTTGAGGAATGTGCAAACCTGACTGGAAGCTCAAAGTGACATCCAACATCTGAAAAGAATTGGCACAGAATATTGGACACTATAAATTTATTTTACGCCTAACAGAATTTAGACCTTCATAGTTGAAAAGCCCCCCTTTTGGGAGCCACTGCAGGGATCTTTTTCTGCTGCCTCTATTAGCGTCTTCCCTTTTTTTTGCATTAACAGTTTAAAAGCTTGTTGATAAAGTCTCCCTGACCAGATCAATTTTAATCTTGTGCCAAGATTAAAAGTATGTCATCCACACTCTTATGGCACAAAGGGGGGATTGTGGGAAGAATCCAGAGAAATAAATATTTTGGGAAACATTAAAAAGGCAGAATATATTTATCCAAAGGAATAATGGAGAAGATCTTAAAGGCAGAAAAGCAAGCCCAGTTTTCTTAATAGCCCCAAGCAGAAACTAGGCAGAAGCCAGCTTTTAGAAATGCAAATTTAATAATCCATTCAGGAAGGTTGGGGCCAGGAAGCTAGAAGCTGAGATTAGGAAGACGAAGACCTCTAAAATCTATATACCCCACCCAAACTCTAAAAGACATGATGGGGACATAATAGGATTAACCCACCAATATCAAAAGGGCACACTCAGAATCAGGTCAAGTACATGACACAGAAAATACAAAGCCTCAAACAGGAACAGGAAACAACCTCAAGAGCCCCAGCAAGTATAAAAACCCACCACTCCCAGCAACATGTGGTCAGTTTTCCCAGAGCCATGCTTGTCTGGCTCTGCTCTTCAATAAACTCTAATCTTCTTTTTAAAGCAGTCTCCATTTTGTTTATTCCCAGCTTGGACTGGACCCTAATGAAGATTTTTCTTTCTACACTAACATCAAAAATATCTCTGGAACTGTTCTAAACACTTCTTCTTTTTTTTCTTATTATTGATTATATTAAAAAAAAACCATTCTTCTGTTCAGCCGTCCTATAAATAACCAGAAGCATGGGAAGGGCAGAGTTTTTTTAAAGGCAACCTATAGCTTTCCTCTGGACTGCCAGGAACATAGTGTTCAAAGGACCTAGTCTGCGCTAATGGTGCTGATACTTTCTCTGATATAAGACTGCAATGGCCCTGAGGGCGTAAGAACAGTTTTACCATCTTCCTGAATGCATTCTACAAAGATGGAAAATAGATTACAATAAAACAGCTATAGCCTGCCTCCCTCCAAATGTAAAATGAATAGTGTTACGGCTCCTTGGAAGGTACATAGGACTTAATACAGCAGCCTCTCTCCAACTTAGTGCCTTCCCCACCCATCCCGTTTTGGATTCAATCACCATAATTCCCCACAAATATGTCTAGGACTTCATAAATCCAACCACACTGTGGAGGTGAGGGGAGTACTAGTTTAGCAATGTGGAGGAAATTAGGTCGAACTATGTACACAACCAAGAGATATATTGGCGGAGAGTTCTTGATCTGGATGGTTGAAAAATGCATTAAATGCTAAAGACATCATAATAAATCCAAAAGTCACACATTTAAAGGATTCAGCCTATCTTGCTTTAGGATAAACTGACTCACTTTTCCTGCTGGTGTAATTGCACGGTATGCACAAGTCACCACAAAAAACGCGGGTAACTGCACAGCGATTCTACACCAGGGAACCAGCTTCAACTGTGACTCTCCTGCCAACTCTTAATGCAGAATACAAGCGTTCTGTTTTGATAGACAGCAAGCAACCAAATCCATCTGGTTTCGTATAAACAAATTGAGGGAAAACCAGCGAAAGTGGGAAGATCAAGTATTGCACGCGCGAGGAGGGCCAGCCTTCCGCGATCTCCTGCTCTGGCTGGCTGCAAAGCAGGCAAGCGATGCCCGCTCGCTCCCCGATTTCCAGGAAAAGAATTCAAACTACAACAGAGGACGGGCAATCTGCTTTGCAAGCGGGGGGGGGGGGGAAGAGAAGGGGGGGTGTAATGTCTCTGTCCTTGGCAGATGGTCTTACCCAGTGTGCATTGTTCCTTTAGTGTCTCCTTTATCCACTGTAATTGGATCCCGGAGGGAGCCAGCGAGCAAGGGAGGGACGGAGGGAGGCTGGGCGAGCTCGCTGGGGGCGGAGGGGAGGCAAAATAGTCCCGAGGCTTTGGCCTGCGCCTCCCTCGCCTGTCAAGCGCTTGATTTCATTGTTCCAGGCTGATGTCACTCCCAGTTGTTACAGACGCTTCTTCGGGTAACAATGTGGAACTAGGAGGCACAAAGGACCTTTCTGGAGACACCCCAAAGGTAAGAGGGAGAGAGAAGTAACTGCGTTGGAGTTGGGGATGCTAAAGGAGCCGGGCGTCTTGGGGAGCGACCTCGGAGCAGCTTGCGCACCCCAGGCACCATCGCCGCCAAAGCAACTTTAGCAGCTGCAGGAGTCGCTCGCTCCCTGCAGCCGCATGCAAAGCGCGCGGCCCCTGGGAAAGCGCGCGGCTCGGCCGGCGAGAATTCTAGGGAAGGGGAGGAAAAAAGTTTGGCTTCCCATCTGGCTGAGCCGTGTGTTTCCGCGCCGGTTTTGGACAGAAGTTTTCTTCAGGGAGCGGTCAGGACGGGGTACGGTGTTGCGGCACTGGGAGTGGGTGGACTAGTTGTTGATGCCCGGTTTCCCCCACGCGCACACATACCGCGACGCGCCATCCCACACCTCACTCTTAGTTCTTCAGTCCTTGGGTGTTCGGATCCAGCGCGTCTCAAAATCCAATGCCCGGGAAGATCGCTTCTCCCCCGAACCCCTAATTAGTAAACCCAGCGGTCATAATCTGGCGCTGCGTCTTTGCAGAACTTGGGCAAGTTGACCGGTCGCAGACTTCAAACGTCTTCAGAGGGAAGAAAAAGTATTGAGTTAATTGAGGCGATTGGAATCCAAGAAAAGGCTAAGATCCCTAGCTCAAATTCGGCAATCCTGCCTTGATCCCAGCTCTGGTCTATGTACCAAACCTCGCTGCCGCTTGGGGATCTTTCAATCTTCTTATGCCACTCTGTTCTCAGCTGACGGTCAGCACCTGCTCTTTCCAGTTGTTTTCCTCCTGGATGGTCCCCTCAAACACAGGATTTTCTGGGTCAGAACCTTCAGCCCCCTCCCTGGGCACTTTTGATTTTATTAGCTTCCCGTCCTGCTTTATCTCCGTGGTTCCTCCTTTCTTTCACTGGCCAACTTAAATTGTCTCCTGGCACAGATGAGTTGTTAGCACCTTTCAACTAACTTCAGGGCTGTGCCGTTAGCGTACGGTTGCTTACACCTGCCCGCATACACCCCCCTCCCAATTCCTATATTTGTACTCTGTTCATCTTCCTTCCTGTCCTGAGCTTAGAACTGGCATGGCCTATTTCTGTGCTCAGATTGCTATTGTGGTGAGGCCCTTGGGGACAGCTTGGGTGATGAATCTCTACCCAGCTCATTCCATTTGTCACACAGCCTCTGTTTCCAGCACCTCCCCCCCCCCTGCACTTTGGCAGCAGATTGCATTTGTTCTGTACACATCCTTTTGTTCCCCTCCACTACAGAATGCCAGCCCTCTCCCAGTCATTTCTCATCCTCTTTATTAAGAGGGGGCACCAATTATGATAACCAAAAAGAAGGATGAAGATGGTACTGGTTTGGTCAAGGGAGGGGAACTTTGTTTCAGCCAGCCTTGTGTTAAAATGATGCCAAGAAGGGTACGCCATACTTTATTTTTTGGCTATAAACTCTTTTTACCAGCACGTGACATTCTTTGCACCTGGTGTGCTCCTGATATATTAAGAATGTAACTCCCACAATTATCAGCCATGCTGGAGAGGACCACCAATGACCCACCATCATACAAAATGGCCTACTGTATCACATGACCACTCTAGAACATTTGTCTCCCCAAAGCTGTCTGACCATTATTGTGGGGGAGGTTCTGATATGAGGTCCTAAACAAACTTACTTAAAAATAAATTCCTGATAGTCTTAATTCCAAGCAGATATGTTTAAAAACAGAGACATCAATTCTGCCCAAGGTGGTACCTCCCAATTTGTTAGAACTACCAACAGCCTGAAAGTCTACCCAGAACAACAGAACCGGAAAGCGTAAATTTAGGAAAGGCTGAAGAAGCCAATTTGTTAAAGAAATTCAGTGAAAGTAAGCTTTTGCTTATTGAAATGTCATTTTCTCCTAAAAGGCAGAAGTGTGTGTGTGTGTAAGTTTTACATGTTTTCATGTTGGAAAAGTGAAACCATAACAAAGAACAAAGTTCAAAAAAACAAAGGTTGGATCTTAGTCCCATTCAGAATTTTTCTCCCAAGTTTGAAGGGTCGCATCAGGCTTTTATGCAGCAGGTCAAGAGCCACACTCCAAAAAAGACTGGGATGGAGCCCATTTTGAGTGCAGGACCAAGAGTTTAAACACATGAAATGGATTCCTGGGATATCCACAAGGCATAAGACACTCCTTAACCCTTGCCCTACAAAAGGGTCACAGATCTTTGGCCCCATCTGCTCAGCAAAAAAATGGTGGAGGATTACACACAACTCTGGACTGTACCTTTTATAAAATTTTGTCTAACTAATTTTGTCTTTTTAAAAAACAGCCCTTGACCTCATTAAATAAGTAAATAAGAACTTTGTCTGTTAAGGGTGCCTCTTCCTCCTTTTCCTTCCACCCTTCTGATAATAATCTATTTCATGTGACCAGCTAACTCATCCATAAGGCCTTCTGTTCCAGAATTCTGCAGGGCATCCTCTACAGTAAAAGCCCTGTTCTAATGAATTTTTCATCCTCCTCTGGTGCTTTTACAGCCTTGATTACATTATCCCAATTCCCTCTTTCTCCTCAAACATTTGCCTCTTTGTCTTGTTAAGATCCACACATCCTCCACCCTTCCCTGTCCATGCAGTTTGGGAACTGCACATCAATATTCAAAGCAGCAATGAGGTCATTTTTCCAAGGGCTTCTCCTCTCCTCCTCTTCACTATTCAGGAAACACACCAGGAATTGTTCTTGTGCTCCAGTAAGAGATCCCTCTCATGTGAAAGCTGGGGGTGAGTGGGGGAAGATTAATGACAAAGCTGCCCACATAAGCAAGCTTCCATTGGCAGCTTATTAAAACTATGTTATTCTTTGTGCTCTCCAGCTGCATTGGTAGGAAATGGAAAAAGAGTTCTTATTTAGAGTGGCTTTGTAAAAAGCCAGGATATAATCAGTGACTTTTGTGCATTTCAGGAAAGTATCAGTGGTTAGCCATTATTAGGAAGATAAAGTAAAATCACTAAATGATGAGGATTTATCATTTTTAATTGCTTTAGGGTGTGATTAGAATCAAGCCCAAAGATACTGTCTCACCTCTGCAGCATGTCCCTCTATTGTCATCAGCGATAAAAATAAGTTCTGCTAATACCAATTTCAAACTGGTGAGGTACTGTTTTTAAAGAGTCCTCTTCTGAATATTTTCCAGTGGACGCATTCATATTTGATTCTTTCTGCTGGGTAGAAAGAATTAAAGGCATTCATTCTTTAAAAGAAAGTAGTTGAGAATGATTGGATGATTGTTAGTTGAGCTTTATCATAATAAAATCCACATTAACTTTTAGCAAAGTTAATGTTGGTTTTATTATGACGAAGCTAGACCAATTATTACACCTCTGTGTTTCATTTCTTGCCTTCCAAAGAAGGTTCTTACAGTTAATATATTAAGGTTACTCTAAAGAAGTAGCAGGATGAGCTAAAGAAGGACAACACTGATGATGTCATGCAACAGGGAGAAATTGAGTTTTCTCAGGGGAACAGAATGAAACAATAAATCAAATTGCAGATAATCAAGGTCAGGAATGAGAAATGATGCAGAGCCTTCTTTACAACAATGCAAAGTGAAACCCATGTCTCAGATATCAGATTGTTAAGGAAGCGTCTTTTTTTTCCCCAGTATCCGTTCCCATATATTGGGGAACTCCGAAGACTCTAGGCATTGTTTTGATTGGTACTTATTTAGCTTTAATAATGTCTAAAGCAAACATTCATAATTTGTCAATACATACTTTCAGAGAGAGTTTTTTTTTAAAAAAATAATAATTTTATTTGAAAGCTTTTCTTATAAGAATGTTTATGGGTAATGTTAGATTTGCCTATAGTATTTCAGACCAGACTGGGATAGGCCTTTGGAATACTGCCTGTGGTTTTACTAGGCCTGGGCCCAAGTTTCTTCAGTTCTGAATCTACTTTGTGGAACCTGAATGTTCACTAGTGCCAGCATTGAGGTTATACATTCATTGTTAGAGTGATTGTTTTTTTTTTAAAAAAGAAGGGAAATTACCAAGCATGGTAGAACTTTTTGCCCACACCTACCTACCTACCTACCTACCTTCCTTCCTTCCTTCCTTCCTTCCTTCCTTCCTTCCTTCCTTCCTTCCTTCCTTCCTTTCTTTCTTTCTTTCTTTCTTTCTTTCTTTGGAAGAGATGATGCCCGAGGTCTAATTTATTTTTAGAACAAAAGGTGGCACATCTATTCACCCTGAAATTCTGTATGTGCAAATTATACACCCAGCACAAAAACTATAAACTAATCTCATCAGTCTTGGAAAAGGATGGGAATAGTGCCAGGAGCATGCTACCCGAATGCTGTGAAACCTTGTATGAAATTAAAAATGGCCTGGGAATCCTATGGGAATGTAAAGATGAAGTAATATTTAATGAATGCACATATATTGGGATGTGAATAATATGATATACATAATAATAAGGAGCATTTGTGAATGATATTTAATGTGTACTGAGTACTACAGGCATAGTATTGTATCTTGGCAATATTATTACTGCCATACACAATTGCTGCATATGGTCCAGTGCACAGGCTGGTTCCTGTAGCTCAAGAGTATTTCTTATAAAAGTAGCTGTGAAAAGGTAATGACTGAGTCAGGTATAATGATGTGTGCTAGGAGGGTTTGATATCAGACTTTATGTGATGCCATTCAGAATAGAATTTGTGGGGAGAACTGCAAGGTACCATTCAGTCAAAGGGTCCCCTAATATCGCAGTGTTAGCTTATCCCAATTTTAGATAGATAGATAGATAGATAGATAGATAGATAGATAGATAGATAGATAGATAGATACTGTTATCTAAAGCCCAATGCCAAAATTATTCAGCTGCACCATTGTCTCAAAGTACACCCTGCATCAGCCTGGAAGACTTCTTGGATTGACAATGTTACAAGCCAGTTGCTGGAAAATGGGCTAAGCTATTGAGCCTTTTCTTTGTAAAGTCATAAACTACTAAGTTTAACTT